CGCCCGGCCGGCGCGGGAGGCAGGCGGCGCGTCCGGCCCTGCGGCCCTGCCGCTGCAGCTTGTGCCCTGAGGGGGTGCGGAAGGTGCAGTTTCCCCAGTGCGCTGGGAACCCATCTTGGCAACAGTCCGCGACAGGCCCGCTTTGCAAAGGGCGGCAGGGCAGGGGGCCTCCGTTGGACCGGCCCAGGTGACACGTGGGTCACCCCTGTCCTCAGGGTTTGGAAGGGGACCAGTCGGCCTTGATTTCCCTCCCTGGCCTGCGCAGATGGATTTCCAAACAGCAGTTTCCTCCCTCCATCCTGCCCCCACCCCTGGGGTGCCCATTGGCTGCAGACTGCAGTCTCCTGATTCATTGTCCCCCCGCCCCCCATTTTTAAAGTCTTCCTGATGGCTGGAAACCTGCCTATCTTACCACGCTTGGTTTGTAACGGAGGGACCACAACAACGTGCTGACTGCCAAGAAAACCCTCGTCCTAGGTTTTGTGACTTCAGAGGCCATCAAGAAGGGGTCATTCGTGCTGGGGAAGGAGGACAAGAGATGGGCACTGGCTTCCAGAACGCAGTGGGTGGGAGAAGAGGGGCCGCCGGTTGGTGACCGCCCGCCTCACCGGAGGCCCCGTTGTGTCTTTCAGAATGTTGGCCTCCAGAGTGCTGAGCCTGATGGGCAAGCGGGCCCGCACCCTCTCCACCTCGGTGTGTGTGCGTGCGCACGGTGAGTGAGCTTTCCTGGCTTGCTTTCAGGCACAGATCCTGGCGTCTTGATCCTGCCGTTAGGAGGCTTTGCGGGGAGATGTAAATATTTTATGGGGTGTGGTTCCAGGTTAAAAGACTTGGGGACTATGTCAACATTGGCTTTGCCTTGGCATATGCTGATGTTTCCTCCCTTTTCCTCCCTCTCCCACTTTCAGGTTTGATTTTTACTCTTTGGAGAGGTGGTCTCCATCGTGCCTGATTTAATGCTCCGCCTCCTTGGCGTTCCCCCACAAAATCCTTCCCTTTAAAAAAATAAAAAGCAGTGTTTGCTTTCTTAATCTCTTTTCCCTTTGCCCGCATTTGCTGGAGAACCAGGCCCAAAAGCGCCGAAGAACTCTGGCCGCCCTGAGATCACAACTGCCAGTTCTTGTTCTAGAACATCCCGTGCGTCCCCAGGGTGGGCCAGCTCCAGCACTGACACCCGGGTCCGTCTTCCTGCGCCGGCCTCTCGCCACACTCTGCCACATGGGTTTAGTACAGGCCCATTGCTGAGTGACGGCCACGGTCAAGTGTGCAGCGTTTTCCTACACAGCGCACATCTGGTTTAGATAGTGCCTGGAAACTTGGACACTGAGTTTACATTGGTAGAGACCTTTTTCTTCAGGCAGATGTGATACCTCCGTACGATCACTCTTTGTAGTACTTCCTCCTCTTAATAGAATCGTCAGGTCTCAAAACTGGAGGCAGTTTCCAGTTTCCGCCGTCCTCTCCGTCCCCTTTGGGATGAGGCGGAGCCACATCACTAGGCCTCTGCTCCCCCGCTGCACAGGGGTGTGAGCGGTGCCGCTTACGCACAGGCTGCAGCCTGCTCCCTCCGTGCATGTGAGCTGGGAGGCTTCAGCCATGGGCGTGGAGCTGGCAGAGGGGGCCGTCCTGTAGGACTCCTGCGCCCCAGACGCCCTGGAACATGAGGTGCTGCGCGTGCTGCAGACGCCAGCGGCTGTAAGCCGAGAACGCTTAGTGAGGATGGAGCTGCTCCTTCCTCCTGCGCCCGGCGGGTGGTGCTCGGCGCACTCAGGTTAAGGCTTCAGTTTCTGCTCCGAGCAGAAATCCCACTTTGGTTTCTCTCTGCTGATAACTTGGGGCTATTTGCCAGGAGTTTTGTGTTTAGTTGCGAGTCTGCGTGGGCGCGCGAGTGTGGAGCCAGACGCCAGGTGATCGCCGCTAGCCGCAGGGAGCCGGAGTGGCCGCGCCGCCTGCGACTTGCCGAGCACCCCTTGCCCGGCCGTCGGAGCGGGGCGCTGTTTCCTGACGGGCTCTGAAATGGCCTCTGGAAGCAGCACCGGCAGGCAGCCTCTGCTCCCTGAGCAGCGTGGAGGTGCTGCAGCAGTGGGGTGCCGAGCAGGGCGCGGCTCCGCGGCGTGTGTGTCCCCCCCAACCCCCGGCCTCACTCTCCTGGCCGGAGAACAGCCGCACGGGCCATGTTTTCACGCGCGGTGTTTCTGGACGTTGAACTCTTGCTGCTTCGGGTTTGAGTTGTCCTTCTGCTGAGCTATGCTGCTGTGCTTGCTGCCGCGCGTGGGTGCCCTGCTCTGCCGCCGGAGCGGCCGCCTCAGCCCAGGGTGACCCTCACCTGTTTCTGGAAGCACTGCCGTGCTCCCCCGCTGGGTCTTCGCGCGTTGCCAACCCCCTCGCTGTGTCTTAGGGAGTGTTGTGAAGAGCGAGGACTACGCGCTCCCCAGCTACGTGGATCGGCGCGACTACCCCCTGCCCGACGTGTCCCATGTCAAGAACCTGTCTGCCAGCCAGAAGGCCTTGAAAGAGAAGGAGAAGGCTGCCTGGAGCTCCCTCTCCCTGGACGAGAAGGTTGAATGTGGGTATCACGGGCGAGTCTGGCCCCCCGGGAAGTGGCTGCTGGCCTGGGCCGCTGAGTTCAGGCCCAGTCTGAGGGCGCCGGGGCGTTGTGTTTCTGTGCCCTGCCTGCTGGGCCGTCTCCGTGGCCCAGCACCGTGGGGCGCGTGCGGGAGCAGCCGGCTTCCCCTGCTGCGTGGGCAGGTGCCCGGGCAGAGCGCGGCTGGGGAGGAGCCGTGCACGCTCCCGTGCGGGACCTCGGCGTGTGGGAGGAGGCAGCGCAGGGCTTCTCCTGCGTCGCCTCACCCGCGCCTGCTCCGTGAGCCAGGCGTGCCCTGGCGTGAGGGTGGCGCGGGGTGTCGGGGGCCGCGGAGCGGCTCGCGCCTGCCGCCGGCCCTCCCTCCCGTCTGCTCCAGTGTATCGCATTAAGTTCAACGAGAGCTTTGCTGAGATGAACAGGGGCACCAACGAGTGGAAGACGGTGGTGGGTGCCGCCATGTTCTTCATCGGCTTCACCGCCCTCATCCTCATCTGGGAGAAGCGCTTCGGTGAGTGCGGGCGGCCGAGCGGCGGGAGCGGCCGGGGGAGGCGCCTCGCACACGGAGGGCCGCAGCCTGGCCGGAGGGCCGTGGGTGGGTGGCCTGTGGCCTTGCCGCCGGCAGGCCCGCGTCGTTGGGAAGCTGGCGTGGGCTAACCTGGAGCCTTCTGGCTAGACCCTTGGGCTGCGCTGGCCTCCGAACTCCCGTGTGGCCACAGCTCCAGCGCCGTGCCTGCGGGCTCTCGGCAGCCTTGACGGCTCCGCCGTCCTGGGCTGCGGCCCGAGCCTTTCTGCCAGCAGCGCTGCGAAGCCTGCTCGTTCGGCCGTCTTTCTGGCCCCTCTGTCCGGCCAGTAGCACGCTCCCTGCGCGTGGCGCCCTGGGCTGGCGTGGGCGCGGGCAGGAGCCGTCCCGGGCCTTTGGCTCTTGCCTGGGCCCTGTGCCAGCCTGAAGACCCCCGTGTCTCCATCCTGTGCAGACGCTGCTTGTGCCTTTGGCTTTTTGCTCGCCTTGACAGGTGGAGATAGAGAGGGGCGTCAGTGCCCAGAAGTCCAGGGCGTGGGTTGGTGTGGGGCGGCCGGCCAGCAGGTGACCGGCGGGCCTGCTGCAGTGTGTGGCCCGGAAGCAACGTGCCCGCCAGGGCCGCCTCGCGACGCTCTTTCGCTGTGTTCTGCAGTGTACGGCCCGGTCCCGCACACCTTCGACGAGGACTGGGTGGCCATGCAGACCAAGAGGATGCTGGACATGAAGGTCAGCCCGGTCCAGGGTTTCTCTGCCAAGTGGGACTACGACAAGAACGAGTGGAAGAAGTGAGGCCTCTGCTCACACCTGGGCCCCGGCCTCTCCGCCCCCGCGCAGCTCGGCCTAGCACTGGAAACCGTCACGGCACCGCGCTGATAAATAAACAGTTTATGTGACATCCGTGTGGCCTGCTCTCTCCAAACCGTAGGCTTCTCCCAGTGGCCTCTGGTCTTCTGGGGCTGGCCCCGCCCTCGAGCTGGTCAGCACTGGCTGGAGTGGGTGACCTCAGTGAGCTCTGGGTTCTGAGGCCTCGGTGCCCCATGGGGTCTCGATGCCAGCGCTGGCCCGCTGGGCGGGGAGTCCCGAGTGGTCCTGGCTGCAGCCGCCAGCTCACCATCGGGTGATGCCGTTCCCAGCTCCTTCCCCGGGGGCTCCTGCGTGGAGTGTAGGTCCAGGGCCTGGTCCAGGGTCGCCTGGCCTGTCTGACCGTCAGTGAGCTTCGTACGGGACACGCACCCAGGCCCGGCCCTTCCTTGGCTTGTGAACCCGACAGCCTCGCCCACATGTGACAGCACTCAGAGGGCAGGGGACTGAGGTTGAGGGGTGCGGGCTGTCTAGTGGCGGTGGGGACCTCTGCTGAGGTGGTGTGTCTAGTAGGTGGGACGCAGCCTTGTGCTGCAGAAGCTCCCCCTGTGGAGAGCAGCGCCAGGTCGCCCACGCCTGCGAGTCGGAGCAGCCCACTCCGCTTCTGCCCCTCTGCGCTCGGCTGCTGGGTGCTGCAGACTGTTTCTCTTGGCTGCCTGGCTTAGCCTCTGCCACCAGGGCCCTCCAGCCCCGAAGCCTGGGGCCGGGGTGCACTTCTGCTGCTTCCTGTTAGCTTCCGGCTTCCCTGCTGCTGCTCTTCTCTCAGCCACCTCTGCTCGGCGCTGCACTGTCCTCTTCGCGGCTCCTTCCGGCCTTCCCGCCTGCCCCGTGACCCCTGAGAGTTGACCCGCGGGCCGCCTCCCGGCTTCCTGCAGGCTGTGGTTGTCCCCGCTAGGGGGACCAGCCCCAGCACGTTCCTGGTGAGTCCTGGCCCAGGCCGGGCGCGCCGTGGCTGCTGAGCCCTGTGCAGGGCGGCCTGGGAGGCATGCTTGGCTTATCCTCGTCCCCCGAGGGCTCAGCTAGCTGGTGCAGGGCCCTGGGCTGGAGCGGCCGCTGCACTCTCCCTTCCGGACAGCAGGGGGCAGGCCGACACAGCCGTGCAGGCTGGCCAGGGCGCTCCAGCCGGCTGCCTCGGGCACAGCTTTTCAGCTCCGGCAGGCCTGGCGCTGGCAGGCTGGCTCTGCGGTTCCCTTGTGGCACTTTCCCTGTCCCTGCGCCCTGTCCCCGGCCGCAGCGCAGCTCCGCAGGCTGGCCCTTCACTCACCACCAGGGAGCTGACCTGGTGCTCACCCCGAAAGGAAACGTACCGTTCACAGGGTGAAGACGTGCGTGGGAGCCATAGCCCTTGGCCCGTGCACCGTCACGGGAAGGGCTTCATTATGCTGCTGGCCCCTGGCGCTCACGCCTCGGCTGTCGTGGCCGGCCCTGGCTGGCCGCCCCAGGTCGTTCACCTCGCTCGCCGTGAGGCGGTGCTCCCGTTTTACAGGCGTCAGGACAGGGTCTCGCCAGGGTCACGGGCCGGCCGGCCAGCAGCCAGCACTGCCCACGCCTGGCTCTCCCTGCCAGAGCGCGGGCGCAGCCCCTGGCGCGGTGGCTGTCCGGCGGCAGTTCATTGAGCAAACGTGTCCAAACCCTGGGGATGACCGTCTCCGGGGTCTTTTCAGACCGCCTCATCTGTTGGCTTTCCCCCAGCAACGGCCATCCGCCCGCCGGACCAAATCAAAGGTCACCCCACCGCCAGTTAACCTCACACCCACTGCCCTCCAACTGACCGGGACCCGAGCCACCCCTGCCAGGCCCCTTGTTCTTCCCTCCATGAAGTGGGGTGGAGGTCAGACTCCACCCAGCGACACCTGGGGCCTGAGGGTGAGGGTGGAAGTGTGCGGTTCTCATCCCGGGGCCACAGGCCCCACGCTGAAGCCGATGGCTGCGGGGCGGCCACAAGTGCCGCCCGGCCCTCAAGCCCACGCCGGGTGTGAGAGCGGGGCCCTGCCTCACCTCGGTGTCCAGCACCTCTCGGCCCAGCACCGGAGCCCGGGCCCCTAGTGCTGCCGCTTAGCTAGTTCTGCTGACTTCCGTGGCGGCAAGAGTCCGGCTACTGAGGGCTTGTGGTGTGTTGGGAAGCCCAATGTGGGGCGTCCCGACGGGTCCTAGCAGGAGCAGGACAAAAATCGGCAAGCGCAGGCGTGTCCTTGCGCCCCCCGGGGCACCGGGCCCCAGGCTGCCCAGAAGGGTGGTCTCCAGGCCCAGGAGGCACCGCGAGCGCAGGGGCCCTCCCGAGGCCAGACGCTGCGCCAGGAGGTGCCTGGCGAGGACGGGCTTGTCCGGCGTTGCTCAGCCCAGCAGCGGGCAGCTGTTAAATGTGTTGAGGCACAGGCCTTACCCCAGATGCGTCGCTGGGGGTGAAGTCTGCTCCCGGTCATTTGTGTATTATTTATTTTAAGACTGATGTACTTATGCATACAGGACTGGGGGACAGGCCAGAGGTGCGGGGCGTGAGAGGACTCAGCAGAGACAGAATGGGGAGCAGAACAGGCAGATGGATGAGATACACTGCTGAGGGAGCAGTGTGAGCCGACTCAAGGAGAGGTCTCTGCGCCCTGTGGGTCACCCCCTGGCGGGGAGCGGGCTCGTGCTGCAGGGCTGCAGCCAGTTGGCTAGTGCTGCGCTTTGCCCTGAATGTGCCGCCAGAGAGGGCCCTGCCCCTGGTGATCAAAGCAGGCTCGGGCCACTGCAGTCACCCCCAGCTGCCTGGGAAACTGTCCTGAGCAGCATCCTCACGGGAGACAACAGTGGTCACAGGCCCCTAGATGCCTCAGGCTGGGCTGGGGCGGCAACGGTAACCCCTCTCCAAGCAACCTGCTAACGAGGGGGGTCCCAGCTGCTGAGACAGGTGGGGGGCGGGGCGGGCAGGAAGGTCTGTGCTGTGAGCCCCCCTTGGCCAAGGGAACCTCCTCCCAGGGACGTCACCTGTGCGAGGGCGCCTGGGGCGGGCGCCGCAGCCAAGGCCCAGCAGGTGGCGCCAAGGCTCCCCGCTATTGAATAGCCCCCCTCAGACGTGCCAGCAAACCCCATCACTGAGAGTGGGCCGGAGAGCTGGTGCGATTCAGTTCTGGGGGAACAGCCTGGTTGTCCTGCCACGCACGTGACACACACTTTAAAATTCTTGCGTTTGCCTCGGCAGTGCATGGGGGTTTTGCATTTCCTCCACGCCGCTGCTGCATGTTTCAATAGAGAAACACCCACGAGTCACACGTCAGGGCTCCCCAGAAAGACGCACCGGCTTGTGCAGGCTCATGGGCCCCCCACGCCTCCGAGGCAAAGCCTCTCTGGTCTGAGCAGCCCTCTCCATGCGGCCGGGCCACAGATCCTGTCCCGACACGGGGGAGGACACGGCGGGCCGCCTGACCGGCCACTCACCTCCGGCCCTGCTAAACCTCTCTCACGGGGAGGAACCGGATCAGGCGAGAAGTCATTTCACCTGCCCAAGAAAGTTCACTCTGAACGTGCTGGTCATCAATCCCGCGAGTGGCTCCCGCTTTGAGGATGGCTGTGGGCTGGGCCCGCCGGCCACCTGGGACGCGGTCAGGGACTCGCCCTGGAAACGGGGAAATGGAACAGCGCGGCGGGCGGGGAGGCCCGACAGGCGAGGCAGGTGCGGGCGAGGGTGTGTGGCTGCGTCTCCGAGCCCCGGGAGCAGGGGGGAGCTTCGAGGCGGCCCTTTACATCACGTGTGGGGAGCGAGCGCATACCCCCGGGGGTCACAGTGCGCAGGGATTTCAGAGCTCAAACAGGCCGCACAGTGCTTGGTGCAGGCCGCTGCGCTCTCCCGAGCGGGTTCGCCTCGGAAGCAGCTTGGGGGCCAGGGTGGCGGCAGGCGCGCTGTGCCAGGCGCGGCCGGGGCCCGAGGCCCGGGAGACGGGCGCATCTTGCGGGCGGAGGACCGCAGCTGGACTTCGCCACCTTCGCCGTCTCCTCCGGCCCTCCGTCTCCCTGCCACCCGTCCCCAGCCTGTCCCCGTCACCCGTCGTCTTCACCACCCTCCCCCGGCGTCCTCTGCCGCGTCCCGTCGCCGTCACAGCCCCCGCCATCGCCACCTCGCCCTCGTCTCCTCCAGCTCAGCATGCTCCTGTTGCGCTTGGGAGGCCCCGGCTTCCTGGACACCGCTGCCCACTGCAGGTCAGGCCCTCGGTAAATATTTGCCGGACGCCGCCTCGCCACCGGGCAGTCTGTGCCCTCCCTGTGTGCTGCCGCCCCCCCTTCCAGACAGGCCGGGCCAGGCGGAGCGGCTTCCTCCAGATGTGTGCCGAGTAGTCCTCGAGTACTGCCCACACCCCGTCCGAAGTCCACACAGTGGCCGGAGGTTCCAGGCACAGCTGTCGGGTGGGGCCTTGGAGCAGAGGGCAGGAGCCCTGACTGGCTGGGTCAGCGAGGACTGACTTGATCTCTTGCGAATTCTACTGGCATCTGTTGGCCCGAGATAACCCCGTGCCCAAATGCCAGAGTGTGCCCCTGGGGCCACCGCGGGTGTCCAGGGGGCGCGGCGTGGCCTGGGCAGCCACGCGTGTCCGGGCTCTGGCGGCAGCCCCATGGCCCCGTGCTGTCGAGGTGTGTCTGCACACGCTGTAGCTGCGCCTGGCCTGGGGGCCCTTTTGGGGTTTCCCCTTCGATGGGGAACCTGCCGGGGGTCCCCTGCCACGCAGCGTCCCGGGTTCCCCATAGGCCCTTCCCAGCCCTCAGGCTGTCGCTTCCTCACACGTCCCTGGGGGCCTGGTGGAAAGCAGGAGGCTGGGGAGGCTCCAGGTCGCAGTGCCGGGCCACAGCCGAGGTCAGGGCGGGGTGGCCGAGGCTCTGCAGACGGTGACCTGCTCCGGGGCTGGAGCCTATCCCCAGAGCTGGGGCTGTTTCTGGGGGAAGTGGGGGTGTCATCAGTCCCAGGCCAGGCTGGTTGTGGGCCTGAGCCCGCCGGAGCCCACCAAGCGTCCATGTCCTCCGTGCTGGGGATTTGTTCCTGGATGGGCACATGACCGCCTG